AATCAAATAGGGCTGGCCAGTTGTGGCTGTCACTCAGGCAGTTGAGAACAAGTTCAACACTTTGTGGAACTTGAACTACAAAATCAATATAATTATATTTGTCTTTGGTGTTGTGGCTATGGAAATCATACAGCCTTGGGTGGTTGTTGTGAAACTGAACTCATTTTCTCTGCGTTGGCTAACAGTGTTTGGGCAGCTCTTGGAATCTTGTCTTTGGAGTAGAGGGGACTTGAAAAGCCAGCGCATGCTAGCTTCTGATGCACAAAGTGTTCCAGGGTCTCAGCGATCTTTGTAAATTTTGGAAGATGATGTGTTTCAAAATTGTGAGATTTCTAGCGTATCATGATAATGAAATGGCCATGTTGATTTGACTCACGTTTTGGAAACTGTTCTCCTTTTCTTCAGAATTGCTTTGGATTGATGTAACATTCCATCATTTATTAGATATTGATACTGAATAACTCTTGAGATCTAGGTCTTTATCACATGCTGGGAAATATTTTCCCCAGAAATCAAAAAAAAAAAAAGAATTGCTTTTTAATTCTTGTCAGAGGGAATGTTTTCTTATATTTATTCAATTAAAATGTGTGCTAAGGTTTCTCATACTTTTATAACCTAAGAGAAGTTTGTGATCATTTGATATTCTAGAAGCATGAGAGGAGGAGAAAAATGTAAAAACATTTGGTTAATGGGTTTACCATGTTTATTTGAATAAGGAAGATTGAAGCTCCATTTATGCCTGGCATAAATGCTTTGGAGGTCTTAATTATTGATGAAAAAATCTGCTCTGCTTCTAAATTCAAAGATATGACAATTTTATAGGAATTTTAATCACCTTCTATGTTAGAGATTTTAAGGTAAGGGTAGTTTTATGTAACAACAAACGCGATGGCCATTTTCAACATTCTTAAGAGAGCTGTCATTTATAATGACAAAATACTGTTAGCATTTTGTTGCTTGCTGTAAATCCCTGTGAAATGAAGGTGGCCTTGGTACTATCTATAGTTTAAGGCATATTTCTAGGCAAATTCACTAGGGTAAGTTGTATTAATCAGAGGAAGAAAAACACTGCTGGGAGGGAATCTCTTTGGAGTGACGCTGTCTTTCACAAGACGCGTTTCGGTTTCATAATGATAATCATTTCTGCGGGGCGTGTGCTGCCTCTGGAAATTGGTGAGTTTCTAGCCCGAGTTTCCTCCTGAGTATTGCCGAATAAAATGTCCCATCAGATTGGCGAGTCAGTTTACAGGTCCACACCAAGCGTGTCGTCACTTGGCTAGTTGGCTTAAAAAAGAATTATATACAGTGCGCTTCACTGGCTCCGTGTGGCCTTTGGATACATTTAGCAGGTTCTGACCAGATAAGGCATATTTGTCCTGAGGATATAAACCAATAATTCCAACCTGAATTGAGATCAATGGGCCCATGTCGGTTCCAGCCCACACCGAGCCTCTTATGCACGTCCACACTGCCAGAAGAGAGAAGCAAGCTTCCCGCTCTGGCCGGGTAATCACATTCTATAGACCCTGATGCCTTAAATCAATTAATTACACAATTTAGTTATCTCTGAGAAGCGTTGGATACTTAGGAATGGCAAGGAAGACCCTTTGGAGTAAAACAGGGGGGACAGTCAGGTGTTGCCCCTTATGAAGCTCTTTTCATTTACTGTGAAGCCTTTGCCTATGCTGTTTACTTCCCCATAAAGTGCTGCTAGAGAAACACATTTTTATCATTCCACAGATATAATTATACTGCAGTGTATTTAAAATAATAGAGCAGTTTACAGAGGCAAAGAGAAATGTAACATTGTCAAGGGAGGGGTATGAGTCAGAAGGATACACAGGCACAGGTATCTGTGTAAATCTTGTTGATCTGCAGAAAGCCACATGTGAGGAGAAAGGTACCCCCACCCTCTCCACATGCAAGGCCATGTATAGCCACACACCCCTACACGTGCATGGATGTGTGTGAGCACATGTACATGCACGAATTTTCATGGTATTGCTGAGAAGGCTGGGAGTATCATTTTCCTCATGGAATAATGTTTTCTGGGAAAACACAAAAGCAGATGGTCTTCATTAGGGACCCCATTGTCCACATATCCCAACTATGAGTAGATAAATCTCTCCTGTTTCACCCGTACATTCCAAGGGCTGCAAATGATTACAGGATGTCGGTGTAGCTGCTAAACCAAAACCACACTTGAGCTCACATCATTTGCCTGTGCCATCCCTGTCTCTTTCCTCAGGAGTTCTGGAAATGCCCCAGAGGGCACATCCTCTTCACCCTCCTCTGCCCTGCTTGGCCTGGGGCTGGGTGGGTGGGGGGACCAAAGGGCAGGATTCAACTGTTGCGGCGTGGCCTGGGCAGGCGACTGCGGAGGGCGCAGGAGCAGGGCCGAGTGCCTGCCCACACGGGCTGGCCGCACACCGTGGGCCGCATGCAGGGCCCAGGCGGGCTCGACGGGGTGGTTCCAGATGGCATCGTCTCTGGCGTCCTGCTCACTGGCATCTCTGGCAGGCAGTGCCCCCTCCCCAATAAATCTGGCATTAGTCTATAGAGTTTGGGAGACTTATCATTCCAAGTCTGTTCTACTTTCCTGTCTGGAAGCCAGACATCTGTTTATCCCATTTTCTTTCATACAGAGTTTGGAATAGCTTTAGTTTTTCTTGAGGGGGGGGGATGGGGGTGGCAAAGTTTTGTCATATTTAACAGCTGTTACAGAATCTCAGCCCTGTGGGCTCTGAAAATGCTTCTCAGCTGACCTCAGATTTTTATACATAATTGACATTGGGTTGTAGAAAAATATTATTTGCTTAACCTTTCATTGCCTGCGATTTTACATCGTCTTTAGTCAGAGCACCTAACTGCCAGCAATTTCAGCCCTGCGCTCCCCCCCCCAGGGCCCCCCACCTTCCAAAGCCTGACTAGGGTGCATTTGTGTGCATTAAGTTTACACCTTAACAGTGATTTTAGAATGGTAGCCAAGACTGATGGAAGGTGTTTTTTCCTTTCTTTTTTTTCTTCCTATCTTTTCTTTTCTTCTCTCTCTTCTCTTCTTCTCTTCTTTTTTTCTCCTTCCTTCTCTCTCCTCTCCTCCTTTCTCTCTCCTCTCTCTTTCTCTCTCTTTTTAGTCAACAGTGTTTCCTTTCACTTCCTGTCACAAAGGTCAAAGAGAGCCGACCTTTGCTGGCAGTCCTGCTCACTGAATTATTCATGGGATTGACTTTTTGTCAGCACACACAGTTGTGCTCTGGGACATTTTATTCATTTACCTCATTTAAAGCGCCTTTCTGCACCTGTTCAAGTATTAATATCATGTAATTTGGGCCTAATGCCGATTTTGCTGAACACTCATTATATTTTTTATTAGCTATATTTCCAAACGATTATGTATGATTATTACCAAGCCTTACAAACAGCACTGGGTTATTCCCCAGCCCTTACATCTTCTTGTCAGGTTGTTTTCAGAAGCAGGGAGGATAAACATTTGACCAGTCCCAATGTTTTTATTCGTACTCCATCTCCAAGCAGAGAACTTAAGGCTCCCTCCCTCATGGCTTTGCACGCGCGTGATTAAATCCAACTCCTCTGAAGCTGTACAAATGCCAGCATTTATAAGGTCAACGCTTTTGTTAAAAATGCTATGTAAATGAGGATCTGCAAAAAGGGACATTAAATAAAATTAAATTCATTGTCTTCTTTAATGTCATTTACATTTTGGCTAAGCCTCAGCCTGTCAAGGAGGATTTTAAAAATAATTTTAATTACACATCATTTAGGGATCCAAGGTTTTCTATTCAGTAGCA